ACCGCACGCATAACTTTGACCTCGTCCGTACGAAGGGCCCACTTACAAAGGGGTGTTCGTGTATATTAATGATTCTGATGGGCCACAAATCTAATAATATAAATAAAAGGATCACCTAGGCACTAACATTCGGCGGGAGGCATTTGCTTATTGGATTTTGCCACGTGCTTGCAATGCAATCCCACATCATTGCATGCCACGTGCTAGATCTCTGAAGTGGCTCTTCATCATTGGCAAGAAAGAAGGGAAAAGAAAATGGGTATCATCATGGTTAATTATACCAATATTTTTTACAAGAGAAGTCAACTCCCCCACCGTAATGTTTATTTTTTTGACTTTTCATTCTTTAAATACTAAAGAGTTTTCATCTGAATTAGAACGGTTCAAAAGTATAAATAAAAAATGAACGGCACAGAACTACTTTTGGCCATAAAATATATTTTGATTGAGTTTGGTTAACCATGGCTTTTTTTTTTTCCATATAAGTTGATTTTTGCAAAATTAATTTGATTTGGCTAATCAAGCATGTCTCTAGTTCGTAAATGTATGCAACTTACATCTCCTGGAGGCATGAGTTTTATGCTATTGTCCATGTGAGAGCAGTACTGTAATGTAATATATATATATATATATATATATATATAAAAGAATGTCTATAATCGTTTTTGGAGTTTAAGGCTTATGGTAACTTCAGTGGGCATTTCTCAGTTTTTACGACCTACCTTAATAATAAAATACTACTATTTCAGTCTTTAATATAGAACTTAATTATTGAGTTGATTTTTGTTATAAATATATGATCTATTTATTATATTTACTAATTTTTTTTAAATTACCGCTATGAATACTCCCTCAACCATAATCAAATAGAAGAGAGAAAGGATATTAAGGAAGATGATTATTGTTTTGGAAAAAAAAATATGTTATATTTTTATAATTAACTAACTTATATGGTTTTCTTAATTTAATCAAAGTAATTAAATAGGTCTTATATTAAGACCGGAAGAATATCTTTCAGTATGAAAAATTTAGAAGGGAGGGACTTGGTTCCCTTCTCATGGGTTGGTTTTACAAATTTTTATGGGATTTTTGAGGGGGGGGGGGATTTGTTTCCACTTCCCCTCCCAAGGGTCTCTTTGGTTTAATTTGTGGGGGGGGGGGGTTTAATGTTATTTCGTTCAATTTAGGGAGGGAGAAAAAAAGAGGATAGCAGTATTAATCAATGACATGCAAAATAAATATATAAAGAAGAAATTCATTACACTCATACAAGTAGTATTCAGAGATAAAATGACATAGGTAAATATACTTTCACGTGTAGCCAACTTCACTTATTTACATTTATTCTCTATGTTCCATTTTTGTAGTTTTGGCCAAAAGAAATTATATAGTTTCGCATTTGTAAACTTATAAAATAGATCATATGTACAATTAAATTGTGAGCCATAGATTTGCGTGGAATCTGAGGTGAGTTGTAAATTCATGATTCGTTTTTTGCCAACAAAATTCATGGTTTATACTTTATACACATTACATTTTGTTATACGTTTTATATTATGCATATTAATACTATCTCCGGTTCTAATCATAAGAGTTAGTTGAATAATTTGAAAAGATTAAGAAAATAAGTTATATTAGTTATTTATAATAAATAAATATTATCTTTCCTAAAATATCCTTACTAATCAAGTGTATTGGCTAAGAACTATCATTGTTAGAAAGACTACCTTGAAAAGATATATATTTATAAATATAAGAAACAAAATGGATTAGAGTCTTATATTCATGATCAAAATAAAAATCAAATAAAGTCTTATATTAAGTACTGGAAGTAGCATATGAATGTATAGATGGTACTGGCTGATGGCACTTCACTTTTTCAAATGCAAAATGAGATGTGGGTTGGGCAAGCCTTTTGCTTGCGACCCAAAGCGGCATACAGCCTGCGTTTAGACTTTAGAACTCTCATTTGGGCTTCCTCCAGGTCAACAGTACTGGTTAATATCTTAATTACGTAATTTGAATAAATTATTTAATCATAATCCAAAATTTGAGAACATTAGGGAAAATTAATTGCAGGTGCTTATAATTTTTTTTTTCAGTTTTTAATTTGATACTGGGTTATTCTCTTCTCTTAATTAAACACTCTAATTTTGCTCTGTTAGTACTATTGTTACCTTTTATGTGGAGGCTAACAGTACTAACAACAAAATTACAGAGGCCAATGGTGCGAACATATATTAAATGGTTTTCCCAGAACATTATCACAGAGTTCAATAAAAAAAAAAGGAAGTAAGGGAATTGTGTGACTGTATTCTCACTTTATGGAGCGTATTTTTTGAAACAAGGTCATTAACTAATCATTATTTTTTTTTCCAAAAATGATTTATGTTTTAACTCGCACATTTAATACGATCCTCCCGCAAATATTTTCTCTCTTTTTCCTAATGAAATGGACTATTTATAGATGAAAAACTACTTATGGACTTGTAAGTTATGAACTTCCTCCCATCTTCATTACAAGACAATTAAAGCTTTGTGTAGTCCAAAATATGAAGTAAAAATGCAATGTCTATATATGTTTTCAATCTTGTCATTCTTTTATTGCATTAAATTGCTGGCAAGCTTTTAATCCTGATATAATATTTTATTGGATATTAACTTAAGGGACAAGATAAAAAAGATTAAAATTTTCATACAAGCGTGTGTACACATATCAGTTGCTACTCCATCAAAATGTCGGAGTAATTAGTTTGCCCTGTAACTAAGAGTGGGAGAAAGTATGCGTATAAATATATAATAGGAACAAGGGTAGAATGGTCCCAAAGGATTGAATCAGTGACATTTAAGTCTAACAATATCCTCTTCTTTTTTGAGCAAAGCTAACAATATCCTTTTCAGGAAAGAAGTTCTAAATATAGCTTTCGTTGCAAATAATTCCTCGATAATTAATTGCAGTCTTTTTTTTCTGGACCAGAGGCTGAAAGGAAAACCACCTAACGCGGACGATATTAATTGCAGTCTGCAGACAAGACAATTTAAGTTTTAGACATAGTTGTAATTATTTTAATTAATATTTGCAACTCATTTTCAAAAGTTTTTTGAGACCTAATTATCAAATTGAACTTTAATATTATTCTCTCTATTTTAATGCTCACTCTTTTTTACCTCATAATTCAAACTCACGGCCTGTGTTTAAGAAAGATTTGAGAAAAATATTTAGTAGTGCCACCCTGGTTCTAATTCATAAGTCACTTGTAGAAAAAAAATTTAATCCTAAATATAAGTCAGATGTAATATATTTAATACTTATTTTTTAATTTTACTTCTTACTCAATTCTCATTGAAAAGAGAAAAAGAAGAGGGATACATAAAAATGATTTGTAAATATAACAAAAGAAAACTTTAATAAGAAAATAAAACTAATTTTTTTTATCAATTTAATACTATGCGAGAATTTATTATAAGGTTACAGAGAATGTATTATAAATTTATATTGAGCATAATAGTGCTATATTTGAGGCCAAGTGCCTGACATTTTAATACTCGGTCTATCTATTTATCTTAACGATTGCAGCCTGCCAACCTCCAACCAATAACATAACATCAAAAAATTAAAAACTCAAGGTCCATACTTATGAGGCGCTGTTATATATATGTATGAAACTGCCACCCGCAAACTAATCAGGTGAGGAGGCCAGAAAACAAGCTAGAGTTATATGGCGATGGATAACGCGCTCGTTTCAGAAGCCAATAACCTGGCCACCTCCCCGCACCCACCTTCCACCTACTCCATCGATTTGGGCGCTTTCGACCTCGACGAGGCTCTCGCCTCATCAGCCGGTGATTCATGCCGCCGATTTGCCCACTCTAAGAGCTTCGTTGCCACATTGCCGGCCGTTCAGCACATGGACGGCGATGCTGTTTGCTCCGTTTGCATGCAAGGCTTTGACCAGCGCAGCAACCTCGACTCCGACGATGGAAACAAACAAATACAAATACCCTGCGGCCACGTGTACCACTCCGGCTGCATCGCCGCCTGGATCTCTCGCTCCAACTCCTGCCCCCTCTGCCGCTCTCATATCTTCCCTCCACTCTCATCAATTACCTACACAATGTCTTGATCAACGTTGTCATATATACTATATACCAGTATGAGTATCTTTACACCTTTATATGTATATATGTGTAGTGCCTTGTTATTACTTATTCTTCCCTTAACGGGGGTTTTGTTCTTGGAATTAATGAGCTCCATGCATGGAGGAAGTGAAAATAAAGAGAAGGGCACATATAGAGGAAGAAGAAACAGTCCAGCGAGTATTGTTTCATCCAATGAGAATACGAATTAAAACGGAAGACTTTCCTGAAGATCTCAACATCGTTACAGGTATGCTGTATGCCTAAATTCAAATGTTTTAAATGAACTGAAAAGGTCAGGTAAGGAAAAGAGAGAGAGAGAGAGAGAGAGAGAGAGAATGTCGACGTTGAATGCGTACAAGATAAATATATACATCTAATGGATAGATTTATGGATGATGACGACGACACTGGGAGCTAAGTCCAAACCGAAAAAATGAGTAGGCTAAATGCGAGGCGACAACTCTTTATTATCCTATCCTTTCAAATGATAAGGCGGGGGTATTAGTAAATGGTCTTCCGGCAAGCATAGAAACCTGACAACCAAGTTACGGCAAAGTGAGCCACAAACGAGTAATTACCTTTTCTGTCAATAAATGAAAAGACAATTTCTAGAAGATGATGAAGATGACGAGAGGATTTAATTAGTTATGAAGTTGAAATTAATATATACTACTTTCGATCATAATTATAAGACGTTATTTATAGTCTACAAATGAGGTCTTATAAATAAGACTGGAGGTAGTAGATATATATAGTATAAAATTTACATATACATTTTTATAGTAAAAATATATAAAGTAAAGAAAGTCATTGTTCAGAGTCCACCGAAAAAGAGTGCCATTTTTGAGTTGTTTTTAGATGACCTGCTTGATTTGCTGTTGGGTCTGCTTTTAGGCCACATGGGCTGCATTGAAAGAGAAGAGAAAGCAAAAGCTTATAGATCATCATGAACAAACATCACATTTGTCACCGACGGGGTTGGTCCAAGTGGTAAGTAACTTGGTATCACTTAAGTGAAGTCTCGAGTTCGAGCCTCAACATATGTAGAAATCCCTGTTGGAAGACTCACCCATCACAGCCAGATATGCGACGCGGGTCGAATCCCGATAGGTGCTTCTGGGTACGCAGACTTAGAAATTACCATGCACATACAGATACACATTCGGAAGCTTTACCGGAGATATATATAAAAGGTATCCGAAAAATGCAAAGAAGTAAATGTTTTAAGAGAAGATGGATTTATTTTTCTGAATGTGAGGATGTATATGATGGTTGATTGCCTTTAATTTCATTGTTTCATCAGTTGGACGAAAATTCTTTGTTGTGACGATTAGAATATATATAACAGCAAGTTCTAGTTAGCCGCGAACATGAAGTGACTCCTTAATGGCAGTTTGTTCGCAAGCATTTTATGCAGCCAGATACCTCATACTCACTATGCTTATGGTTATGGATATATACCTCCATCCACATATTTCAAATCTCATGAGATATGTCATCAATTTTCTCTATGAAGCAACACAAATGCTCTTAGACTACGTACTCACCCACTTTCAGCAGTTTTGAGTTAAGAACCTTATGGTTTGTCCATTAAGGGATTATTAATCCTTCAGATTATTGTCAATTTTTATCAAGGCTATTGAAGACGATGTGCTACTGACTGGCCATGATTTAGTATTAGTAGGAGATCTGATCAAATTTTAGAGAGGTTTAACCTAAATTCACCCTAACTTACAAAAACAAAAAAATTATATTTTCTCAAAATGATAACCACTGACATTTAAAATCTAGACTTGCCTTTTCAAAACAGTCCATGGGGCCGAAACTTTTGTTACAGTCTCATATAATTAAAATTGTTTTTTTTTAAAAAAAATCAAGTGGTAGTATTACAATTGATATTCACGTATCGCCTTGCTTAAATCTCAAGCATAATTTTTTAAAATGCTGATTATCGCTACCTAAACTTTCATTTTTATTTATATAAATTTATTTGTTATTTTTAAGGTAAAAAGTAATAATTGATTTTATAATCATTATTTGCCAATAATTTCTTAGCCGACTGTGGCTGTCACTTGAATTTTTTTAACACAAAAACAGTATGATCATTTCACAACGAAAGTTAATATAAAAAAAATCCCGAAATTTTTTGTAAAAAATTACGTCATTTCATAGTTTTAATATAAAATTTGCATATCAGCTCAAAAAAAAAAATAAATAAATAAATAATCAATTCTGGTGTCCAATTTCAGCCCAAAAAAAAAAAAAAAAACTAAGCACTAGTTATCGCTCAACGCGTCTTTGTGCGCCCGGAACCCCCAAATCCCTAGTCCCTAATCGCAGGACGACGTCGGCTTCTTCCCGCTTTCTGACGCCATCACCACACCCTCGAGTCCTTTCCGGTGATCCCCTATTCCGTCATACCTTTTGGAAGCATAGAGAAGCGGAGGTAACGCTTATTTCTTACTCAATCAAGCAGCAGCAAGCTCGACTGTCCAAATTCATGAAGTCTACATGTGAAGTTCAGAAGTTGTCTTGCGGGATCGTCGTTGTTGGCAAGCTTGGGCTTCGATTTATATGGCGCTTTCTACATGTACTTGTCAGCATATGGTATTCCATATTAGCCCTGGGTAATAAGTGTGAAAGCTTCCTGATCTCTTCGGCAGTATTGAAAAGCTACAAATTATGTAATTTGGGAAAGCTTCATTACCTCGCTATCGTGATAGAAAGCGACGATGCTCATCAGACTTCAAAAGTCGTTGAGCTTTTGCGGTGGTTGGATTCTCTTGGTGTGAAGAACGTATGCCTCTATGACAGGATTGGAGTGATCAAGAAGTCTAAGAAAGCGATTGTGCAGCAACTGAAGATTGAGGAGGCTAATGACGCTGACGCACTCCATGGTCCTAATCACATGACTATAGAATTTGCTTCGTATGCAGATGGGAGGGAGGGAATGACAAAGGCAGCGAACTGGATTTTTGCTCAAAATTTGAAGCGACATAGTTTGGGTGACACACTTGATGTTCAACACTTGACTGAACCTCAATTGGATGAGGCTCTGAGAATTGTTGGTTACGGAGGTCAGGAACCTGACCTTTTGCTGGTCTATGGACCTGTGAGGTGCCACCTTGGTTTTCCTGCATGGAGAATTAAGTACACGGAGATTGTACACATGGGATCATTGAACTCCATGAGATACGGTTCCTTAGTGAAGGCTATTTATGATTTCACGAAGGTGCATCAAAACTATGGTAAATGAGAAGGATTTTGCTAGTTGTTGCATAGCATAGGTATTTAGAATTGTGAAGAAGATCCCTTCCTTTTAGTAAATTTTTAAGATGTAACACGATGAGAAATGGAATCGCCTTGTCATATTTCTTATTTAAATTTCAATTTCGCTCATGCTATGGCCTGATTTGTACCCTGCGCTCTCAATTCATGGAATCACAAGTCGTTCACTTGAAAAAAAAGGGCTACTTTCACTTCTTCCGTTTGCCAGTTGTGTTCATATAAATCATTACTATAAATTTATTCATTGACCGAAAAGAAACAGGAACTTTTCTAAGTAACTGGATTCCATTTAGATTTGAGTATGTAAAATAAGATGTTGCAAGTGGAGAATGCTTTCTAAACGTGGTGATCAATAGATTGTTGTATATATATCAGCCAGAAAGATATGGGAATATTTGGATCAATAATTGGATTCCATTTCCATTTTTTGAGTATTATGAAAAATTTGAAGTGCATGTGTAGAATGCTCCCTGAGCATGTCGATCTATAGGTTGTCGTATAGCCCCGAAAAACTTAACTGATAAGCGTTAGTTCACCGTAGCGATTCTAATTCGATTTATTATTATAATGCTATATGATAGAATTAGAATTATAACCACATTATAAAAAATTTTGTTTCATGCCGCGTTCTACTGATATAGAATTATTAGAGACTCTGAAAGACATTGATGTTTCGAGCCCATCATGCAAAGTACAGATAATATTCAAGCCTTCCAAGTTGATCACGTCTTTTGTGCAAGTATATATCAATCTGAGAAAATATAACGCGGTTCATTCATATTAATGTCATGTTGATTCTATAAATGATCGTCTTTTAGATGCGATATGCCCATTGATCTGATTCGTTATCATTCAGTCTCCGGATGAGTAATTGCTGGACAGGCCATATCTTTGACACTTTAGTTTTTTACGAACTTCCATTTCATATTCAAGGTAAAAATTCCACATGCAATTTGATCTCCCCGTGCACGGGGGAGTAAGTTTTAGTCATAACTAAGCCAGTAGGCCATTACAGGGACAAGAGCCAGAGGCTCTATTTCCTAAAACAAAGTGGCCAAGGCAAAGTAACTTAGGCCACCACGATTCCTCAAGCACTTTTCAAGGCGAGTTTTGTTACACATTGGCATTACATGGCACGATATAAGATTTTCATAATGGTAAGCATACAATTACTCATTCTTGCATGTGCTGCATAAAAAGCACATTATTCTACATGTCACACGCAAATCCTTATTTGAGCCGATATCTTAGCATGTTTGGGCCAATCATTCACCGATAGTTGCGGTAGACAGGAGTATACATGCAGCTTTCGGCATACTTCAGAAGATTTTCAGGACGAGGGAGACGTGTAGCCACCCCTACAATCGAAGTTCAGTGATTATTATGAGTTACGCAAGGAAATGCGTGCATTCCTGAGAAGCATGAAATGGATTGATAAGAGTTCAAGACAAAGAGAAACACACACCTAGTTCATACGCCTTGGCAGCAACATTAGCAGCTATATTAGCTGAGATTTTTCTGATGTCAGAGAATGGTGGGTATATCAATCCATTTTTGTAGTTATCCTCTGTCACTTGTTTAGCCAGGGTTTCCGCTGCGCAAGACAAAGAAACCAAGTTCAATAGAGCATTTCTTTGTTGTTCTTACAGCCACAAGCAATTGTTGTAGATTTCTTTTTTAGAAAGACATTTACAGTGGAAGAAACGAAGAAAATATATGCAGTGGGCTCACAAAGAGGACAGACAGAACAAAATATTATGTACTTAGAATGCATCATATGCTACATTTGCCATCATCCACTTACAGGCTGCTAGAAGCATATCATCATGTACGCGAATTGCCCCTGAGATTACTAAACCCAAGCCAAGGCCTGGGAAAATGTAAGCATTGTTTGCCTGGTTTGTCGAGAAAAGAAAGTATATAAATCCCAGTTCTCGAACCAGTTAAAGGAGGATCACATAAAATAAGTTAGAGGAGATTGTGAAACCTGGCCAGAAGCATAGACTTTGCCCTTGTATTCAACAGGATCAAAAGGACTCCCACTGGCAAAAATTGCACGACCCTTTTTCATGGAAACAAACATAAATTATGGCTCATGTTATCACAATAAAATTGAGTATCAAACATAATTTGCATCAAATCCTCCAAACCAGTATCAAACATAATCTGCTACTGCTATCTTACCCCACTCCATTGGTATGCTTCCTCAGCTGTACACTCAGACTGTGACGTTGGATTAGAGAGAGCCAAAATAAGAGGTTTCTACAGGCCAAGCATGACACAGATACAGTTATTACTGAAGAAGTTATATTCAAATAAACAAACACATACTAATAAAAGCAAATGTTCAGGCACAACATGAGAGAGACAGAGAGGTGTTTACTTCATTGAATGAAGCTACAGCCTCAATCACTTCCTTCGTAAAGGTTCTTCCCACTCCTGATGATCCAATCAAAACTGTAGGCTTGATTACCTGAATATGTAAACTATTTAAGCGTCAAGACCGTTCCAAAAACAACTGTTAAATAAACAGAAAAATTTTGGCACCTTGACAGCTTCTAAGAGACTGTTAAGAGGTTCATGTTCATGAGCCCAAGGCTTCTTGAAATGTTGAAGTGAATTCTTTCTTGAACTAACAATCAAACCCTGAAAGAGATAAAAAAAGCAAAAAACACTTAATTGGAACCAAACTGAACTTGAGGAAACAAGAAAGTAAATAAATGTAAAAGGAACAATTTTCCGAGGAATGATATCAAGCTCTCAACCACCTTTGAGTCTACAAGCCATATCTTCTTGCGAGTCTCTTCTATAGGTTTCTTTGTCTGGAGCAAAAAAATATAAGTTAATGTAAGAAAATCACTGATTATGAGGTAAATTCCATTGCAAAACAAATTTCGCTTTTTATAGGCCACAAATAGGTCTTCACCTGCTTTGACATCTCAAGAGCTATTAGCTCTGCAATACCAGTTCCTGCCTGAAATCATGATAGAAAATAAGTTAGATGAAATAAAAACAAGTCAAATACATTAGAATGAGTGAATTTTTGCACACGAATTGTTGACCAAGTTAAGTAGATACATAAAAGCAAACAGAAAGGTGTGTGCGTGATTCTCTATAGGAAAAATGGTTTAATCTTTTGTACTACTTAGTTTATTCCCTTTCAGTTTAACAGGGCGGGAACAAGCATTGATATTTAAGCTATAAATAAAATAAGGAAAAATAAGGAGTCTTTACTTCTCCAGCACCAAGGAACAGGAATGTATGGTCGGCCAGAGAGCCACCAATGAGCTTCAATGCTGCAACAACCCCAGCAAGAACAACAGATGCAGTGCCCTGATGCAACAAGACAATAATTAATTAGAACATAATAATCTTCCAAGAATAGATGTCAGCTTTCAAGCAAGTTGGTACCTGAATATCGTCATTGAAAACAAGATGAGTTGTGCCATATTTTGCCAGCAACTCAAAAGCATTGTGATTTGCAAAATCTTCAAACTGCAGAATTTATTTTCTTAAATAGTCAGTCGAAGAGCTGGGCTAATGCATATAGAATCAAAAGCCTCATAATGCATGCATGAAAGTGATAACCTGTATAAGAACTTTTTCTCCATAGTTTTGCTTCACAGCAGTCATGAATTCTTGCAGAAGATCACTATATTCCTAAGAAAAAACCACCACAGTTGCCTCAAATTAATGCAAGTCAAACGATGCAGATAGTAAGATTATGTCAAAATAAGTTCAAGCTAGACATATATGATGTAAAAACCTGTCCAGTTGCCCTCTTTTGTCTAAGTCCAATGTAGAACTCGTTGTTCAGCAATTCCTCATTGTTGGTCCCCACATCAATTGTTATGGGTAAGCACTAGCCACAGAAAAGAAAATAAACGAAAAGTGAAACAAAAGACAGTCGCAGCATGATGTTTCTACATTCTGATTCTTGACCTCTACACAATCTAAATATAATGATATAATGAAAAGAAGCAGGCAATAAGCTGAAAATGCTTACTGCAGAGGGACGAACTCCTCCAAGTGCTGTGTACAGAGCCAATTTACCAACAGGAATTCCCATTCCCTGAAATACTTTCAACATTATTATGTGAAGGCTTGTTCATCTATTCCAACCATGAACGATCTGGAATGATTTAATATCACTGTACATCATGGAATATCAGTATCTTGCAGAAATACCTGGCATCCAAGATCTCCAAGTCCCAAAATTCGCTCACCATCAGTTACAACTATGACCTGAATACTCCTCTCAGGCCAGTTTTTCAGTACCTCAAGGATCTTCCCTCTGCAAAATGCCAACACCTTTGTAACACTGAATCAAGTCAAATCTTGTCCAAAATTGCATGGGGGAATACAGGAATTTATTTATATACTTCTCTTTCAAACTAATGTAGAGGCCCTGAGGACGCCTGAAGATGCTTCCGTATTTCTGGCAAGCCTCACCAACTGTTGGAGTATAAACAACTGGGAGCAATTCCTCAACATTGTCAATGAGAAGTTTGTAAAACAGCCTCTCGTTCCTCTCCTGTAGACCAGAATAACACACAATGTTACTCTCTCATATCATCCTTTTAGCTACATATATGGGAAGCACAACAAGGAAGTCCAAGCATCACAAAAAGGAGAAACGAAACAAATGGCATAGTCATTCAAGACATAAAAATGGAAAGGTCTGATTTTCCCAAAAGCTATATCAAGCGGTGTCACGTGATCATAACGAGGCTATCGAAGATGCATACCTGAAGGTCCATCATTGCCATATACTTTTGCAACGGGACCTGATATTGTCGGATGTTGTTCATCAGTTTCTTCTCCTGGGAACAAAAGAAAATAAAACAGAGAGAATAAGAAAGAAGGGGTAGAAAAATGAAAATATACCACTAACAAGTAAGAGAAAAAGGTGTCAATTTTATCATTGAAATGCAAACCTGAAGTTGTTGGGAGCTAACCACGGGAGGGAGGAGTCCACGCAAATAGTGAGCATCCCTCTCTTTCTCAGTGAAAGCAAGCCCCTTGTTGTACTGAGGATCCCTCAACAAAGCGTAACCACTGCAACACAAGTCTCACACAAACTCAGACCACAAAGACTGAAAACATGCTGGCAACAAAAACAAAACATGCTGGCCGAGAAACTTGGTGAAATTATTTGTTAGAAAAGACTGCACGATCAAGCATACAAGCAACCATGAAGTGAGCTAAAGGAAGTACAAAGTTTTGAGAAGCTGACCTGGCAACTGAGTAAGTCCAGGGGGTGACGAGTTGATCCTCGGTGGCGCGATCCTCGCCGTAAATATCCTCAACGCCGCCGCTGACGACGGATCTTGGGCTGAGGTCCAGCACCGACTCTCCATCTCTGATCGCCTTCAGGGTGCTCTCCATCCTGCGAATTCCTTCTTCTTGTTTCCTTCCAACTGTGCAATGGTCCTTTTGATATCACTCTGATATTTTCCTCCGCGAACCACCAAAGCTACCACGAAGTCCGGAGTTGATTGGAATCCAGTGTCCCCGCTTCACAAGAACTCTGCTTTTCTTTGCATGCACGGCGATGATTTTATACATCAAGTCAGTGGGAGGCCACTAAGCAAGTGGCCATGTCAATTCAATTTGTTTAAAGGTTGGACCATGTGCCCCGGCCGACTGAAAAAATAGACACAGCGCACCGGTGACTAAAAAAATAGACACAGTGCACATCTGTTTCTCATGGATAATAAAGTAATCATCTTTAGTTTTAATGGGGTTGTTTTTCACTTTTTTCTCTATGATTGATGATCAAAGCGTAATAATACTGAAAAATTACCGTTTATCTGGGTAAATCAAGTAGTTGGTTATTAATAAAACAAAATAGAGGATTACGCGATGGGAAGGTGGAAGAGAGAAAGGAAAGACGGAAGCTTTTGTTGTGTCCGTGTTCGGCGCGAGAGGGAGAAGTGGAAACAACTAGGAGGTGGTGTGGACTTTTCAAGTCCAAGAAGAGAAATTAAAAGTCGTCTCTGGTGGACACACGTGTCTTAATTGGGGTCCATGCTGGCAGCCTGGCGCCAAAGGCTTCAAGGGACTAGTAAGCTTTAGGGAATATCTTGGAGAGCAGTAAAGGATATACATTACAATTTACATTTCCATTAAGCATATGCTCAAACAAGTGATAATTAAAAAAGTAAATTACACCACAAATAAATTAAAACACATTGAATTCTTTCCACTTTTAACAGACTGTTAATCCACTCTCATAATCTAATTTTAAGTAAGTATATGAAGGAAATTATTATTATTCACTGTTAAGGTGATACCAAATACCAAAATAATTCTTAATATAAAAGTTCATTTGACTTTTATTTTAGTCCTAAATATAAAGCTATAATATATTTTATCTTTCATATTTATTTATTTTTTTAAGATAATTCTTGTAATAATGATATTTATCCCTTTTTTTAAGATAGTCCTTGTAATAATTTTTTTAATATATTTAAATTAGTCAATTAGTTTTTATATTAATAACAGAAGTTAATAATTTGGAAAGAAACATGTAAATTGAAGAAAATAGTGATCTGAATAATTGGGGCTGGGTGGTGCGGAGAGATATTTACTGTGCAAAGTCACAATCATATATGTGATTTGAAGTACTAATTGAGAGAATTTAGATTAATTTTGTATTATTCGATCCTGAGATAACATTATCCAGCTCAGCAAATAATGGATAGATGCAAAGACATGATTGGTGGGACATGCATAATCCCCACCGTCGGCGTAGGGTTAATTAATGCGAAACAAAACAAAAGGAAAAAAGAAAAATGGAGGATGAGGACGACTTTGCATAGAAGAGTTAGAAACATGACAGCTCGTACCTGGGGGATAGCATTAGCAAGCAGCCACTTTTGAAGTTTGAATATTCTGTTGATTTGATTTCTGAATGCAATTATTTCGAAGCATACCTCCAAATATAAAAACTAGTTTAATATATTTGTCTACTTTTTTAAGAGTAATTCTGATAGCGGTTACACATATTAAACATCTTATTAAATAGTAATTTTAACTAATATACATGATTAATAAGGATATTTTAAGAAAGATAATACATATTTATTACAAATAATTAATTTAATTAATTTTTTTAATCTATTAAAATTAGTCAATCAGTTCTTATATTTATATTAAGAATTGAAAGTAATATTTAATCATTCATACTCTTCCATGAGTGTTTTAGGGGTAGAAAATGCTCCCGTCAATTTGAAATTATCAGTCGACGTCAATGTCGATTAGTCAAAAAGTTATGTTCCAATAATTTTAACACTTTCAAAAAAAAGTATTATTCGAATAAATAGCCTAGGAAACTCAGAGGTCCTCACAGAATTATCCAGCTCCGACGATGTTCGGCTTGGATGTATATCCAAGAAGTGGAGGATAGGGAGAATGGCCACAATTAGCAGCACAATGAAACGAATAGTTGGGAAATGCATGCTAAATAAGACCTTTTTAGTCTATGTAATCCTTATTAGTCCTTTTTTTTGCCAACGTGATCTTTATTACATTGATTCTTAACTATTATTCAATGATTTTTTTGGGCCAAATCTGTTTTTCAAACGTAAGAGGACAACGACAAGGTACCGGAGAACGGTAAGGGTCGATTGAAGTATCAGAGTAAGAAAGTCTATCAAATATAAAACTTCTATAACATATAGTTTAGCTTTGTGATTATCGATTTCCTCACACATACAAGTCACCAGTCATACAGAATATTAACGGTATAGAGCGGGAGTTTTATTGTTGTTGTTATTCACAAATAAGAGCCGATAAGCTTGAAGGGGCGGAATATAAAACTTTAATGTCATCTTCACATTGAATCTCAAAACCCATACTACCTCACGCGAAGCACAAATTCTGAGAGGTGGTGAATCCGCTCCTTTGGTTTGCTAGAGCATGAAAATCCCATCATAAATCCTATCATCTAGGCCTCCTTGGGCACCCCGTGGGGATATGCCTTGTGCATCAGTTATCCCACAAGGGAGTAGAGAGACGGAGTGCAAGACAAGACAGAGATTGAGACTATTCCTTCCTTCTTTCTCTAACCCCCCCTTTCCCTTCTCTCCCTTCCCTACCTCCTTTTCTTACCCTTCATTTGGGCCTAGATAGATATACGAGATTATTCAACATCAAAACCCGCGGACCTTCCGTCCAGGATAGACACGGCTTGAGTTTAGTTGCTGAGCCTATTAGCTCGAACTCTTGAAGCTGAGATATTCACGATATAACATGGCTACTAAAATAAGGAACCCAAAATTCGGTAAATTTCCAATATTAAATATTCACATTTCGGTTGAAGAAATAGTAATCACGGCAACCAGACTTCCTAGGACAAAAAAATCTGCTATATGCAAGTTTAGTGTCAGTATCGGCAATGGCCCTAAGAAATGTAATTGTGTATCTACAGCAACTTTCTTCCACTCGTGTTATTTCTGCGCACCAACACAAAAAGAGGAAAGAGGGACCGAAAAAACATGCAATTACAAATCCAGTTATTCCCGCTGGGCATACTAAATGAGAGATGCAGCCACCAATTGGAATAGCTCAGCTTCCCCTAACTGTGTTTTCCAAACCCCAACATCGAGACACAGTAGTTTCTCAAAAAGCCTAGCTAAAGATGAATCATGACAGCGGACTTACTTTCCATTTTTGGGTGGCATACTTGGTAATTTGCTGCACACTAATTGAGCGACCACACAGCAGCTAAATTGGCTATATGCTTCAAAACATAAAGCCGGAAATAGATTAAAACTCATATGCGCCCTGGAGTATCCGGATACTCATGGTAAAGTAGGGTTAGCAAGTCCCATGGATGCTGCTACTTCTCTGGTAGCCAATTCGTCAGCTTGTTCCTGAATAGATAAGAAATTAAATCCAAAGTGAACATAATTTAATAATCTAAAAGGATTATCATGGTTGCTTGTATTAGTTATTGTCATAAACCATGTTCTATAAATATTGCAATCAACTGAACATTGTTACCTGAAGGCGATGCATCAGATACATCAAAAAGAGGTGTACAAACACCTGCGGACAATTTTTTCAGGTTAGCAAAGAGCTCAAATCTTTTTGTTTTATCCTATTTCAACCATTGAGCCTTTTAAACACATTTTGAACTGATCTCACCAGATAGAAAAACAGAAAAACTCGAGCTGTAGGATACCGCCAAAGAAATCTCGTGGCCCTAACAGCCCCTGAATCTAGCAGTTTCACTGCCTTTTGTAACTGTATCAAGCATGTCAAATATGAAGCCAAAATTAGTGCTGAAAGGAGAATGCAAATGACTTGAAATATGTTCGTTGTTATACCTGAGCACTTGCACCAATCAAATGACGATGATATAAGGGAAGAGGCCTGCGATATTAATTAATTCTATAAAATCACTTTCCTGATTCCCCAATTGGAAATGAAAACCAATCACTCCAGCAAGCATAACCAATCAAAAGAGTGAATTAATTTTGAATTGCAATGAAGAAAATGCATTTATTACCTTAGCATGCACAATAAAAAACAAACTGGAATCCCAGAAACGGACTAGATTTCATATTTAGATGCAAACAAGTGATTAATTAAACAGATTAAAGCATTATAGTTTCTCGTTCCTTTACAAATAAGGAGGACCTAAGTTCGGCAATGGAGGCCGGTAGGAACATGCATATCCCAATCAGCAAGCACAAAATCATTTAAGGTAGAGTTCTCAGTAATTTCCTTCATAAAATATCTTACAGAAAACAAGAAACATGCTAATATAAACTAAAGAGGAAACATACTCAAGAGATTTTATTTCAGTTTCTTCCTCCCAAGATGAAGATGCTCGTCGGGAAACCCGACTTCTTTCAGCCTCTACCTGTCGAAATGACAATGACTTCAACTTGCGTGGACCAAAACACTGATCATGCAGCCAAAAGCACCTAAACACATACCTGTGCTTCTTGAAGACGCTTTATTTCCTTCTCTAACTGAAATTCTGTGGCAGCTTTTTCACTGGCCATGGTTTCTAACTGTGTTTGCTTATAGTACTGGGTATGCAAAACAAGAAGCATTTCTATGACACACAAAAAAATCGAACATCACAAGCAACAAATGAAATTGAGCAATGAATTACCAAAAGATCAGTTAGTTCACGATAGCGTTTCTCGAGCTCCATATGCTCCTGAGAATGTAATATAACTACAATCAGCACAACCAGCGTTCCAAACTTCATCATGACATTAAAACATCTTAGAAAGGCATATTTAGTTCCAACTTGAATATGTGTTGAAAACTATAAATGAAAAGCAAGATCACATTTGAGGTGAAATTATTAATTACTAGTTTACTAATCCTCCAATGGTGGTTATGGACTTACAGTCTTATAGACAGCTACACCTCTATTAGAAATTTTACAGCCATCGTAACATCCACTTGATATAACATATTTAGCATGATAATGGAAATACCTGGATGCATGTGATTGCCTACTTACAGAAAACTCAAAGGAACCTTTTCACAATCAATCAAGTGAATTTATGTCTGCTACGTCAATTAATCCTGACTATCCAATTATCAACCATTAAATTTTCAAATGTCAAGTCCATTATATCCTCAAGTAAAAACCATTTAAATGATTAGTATACTTCAGCCAAAATTAACATAGTATAATACCATGTTGAGAAGTAAGCTTGAAAGTATTTTTTCATGTA